AAATCCCAAAGACTTGGTGAGGGTTTGAATCGAAGTCTATCGATGGATTGTTTGGCCCGACCAGTTTGGCAAGGCAAATCGTTCCCAAATTCCAGAAACTTCAAATGGTCAGTTCGAGAAAACAATCGTGAAAGAGCCAACTTCCTTAAGACATGACCAAAAATCGGAAGTATGCTCAAAAATTTCTATAAAGACTGAATGTTCCCGTAGAAGTTATATAGATTTGGAAATGAAGAGAAGAATTGAAACATAAAGAAATAGAGAATAATTTACGTTTGCTTCAGATGGAAGAAGAGTTACACAAAGCTGAGCTAGAAGAAAAAGAAAATGGCAGTACTCGTGATAGCGTTCATCTTCAATATGAAACACTTAGTTTGGCTTCGAGAGAAGAGTCGGTTATTGAACAAGAACACAGAGGTACTGTAGCCCTATGGGTTGAAAATATATCTATCCACCAACAGCAAATACCTGAAATGATAGAAAGAGTAGGCAAAAGTGACGAGACAAATACATCTAGCAATGACATTAAAATACCATGTGAAACAATCACCAATGTTCTCAAATCAGTTTCGGTACCAGTTCCAGTTGTTTCGAATCAATTCTCGAATGCACATGTTGCCAGATAACCCGATAAATTCCAAATGCGGAAGACACTGGAGAAAGATTTTCCGCATTTCTCTAGAAATCCTCAAGATTGTCCCTTGTTTTATAAATCGTTCGGAAATCTTCGCAAACTCTATGATTACAGCAATGAAGAAATTATGTTGAAATTGCAAAGATATCTCAAAGGAGAGGCTAAATCCGCAGTTGCTGGAATGTTGTTAACGGCTGAAAACGTGGACAATGTCATTTCTACCTTGGAAAACAGATTTGGCCGACCTGAATATATAATTGACACAGTAATTTATGAAATACGAAAAATTCTTTTCAATAAAGACGGCAGTTTGGAGAAATTGATTTGCTTTTCATCTGAAGTGAGCAATATGGTGTCTATAATGAAAAGTTTGGACAATAAACGTCTCCTGAAAGATGTGCGAACTGTCAACAACATGTCATTTCCAGACTAAAACGTCAATATTGCAGATTGGAGGAAATACCCGCATCTATGGGGTGTTCCGATAAATGACATCCATAATGAAATCTCACCTGGTGAGATATCTGAACCCGTAATATGTAATAGGTTCATCTCATTCATAAACTAAAATAACATTCTGGATGTCAACAGTTTGGTATCAGACAAGTATATGTGAACCCTTTGCAAACATAATCATTGAAACCTCATCAACTGGTTTATATCCAGATTTCCTCAGAATAAATAAAGTAGTTCTTGTCTATTAGAAAAATTGTAAGAACGACATTAATAACTACTGATCAATATTATCACTCCCATCACCTGGTGAACTCATCTAGTCATACCTATTGAATCGATCCCAAGCAGTTGACATAATGAATTCACAAAATCATTATATATTTAGTAGAATCACAATTAGTCAAGGTGTACCTCAGGAATCGATTATTGAACCAATGTAAATGACTCACCGAAAGCCTGGGATCTAGGTGGTGCATATCAGTCATTATCACAGGGGCTCATACATCAGAACTCTCAACCAGAGCTTCAGCCGTGCCAATTAGTATGATCAGATGATCAGAAGCACACATGGTTGAACTGAATGTCAAGTGAACAGGAATTATAATTCTCAACAAATCAATTAACTGCGAGGAATCTCTATTTAGGAAATTAGTCTATTCCTACATCCCAGGTGATGAATGCAATCCCCATTTGACTAACCCATATTAAAATATTGAATAACAGATTGAGCTTTATTTGTAGTGTGATACAACATTTGAGGGATCAAGTCTCCGTTTGTGGTCTGAGAAAATATTATTTTGCCCATTTACAATCACTGATTTCATATGGTATTATATTCTGTGAGTTTTGTTGTGAACTTTACATTTTAACAGTGCCCTCGTTCTACTTCTTGGGTCTTGTCACCTTTGTGAAAAAATATTCTAACCTGTGTTCCATCTATTCATTTAAGTGCTGGCTAAGTTGAAATTTCTCAAGAAAATTTTCAGTAAAAATATATATGTGAATGCTGTTCATCATGTATATATAATTTTCAACTGTAACTTGTTGATGATGAAACATCAATGTAATTCAATTTGAAAATTTTACCATTGGTATAATCTGTACCTTCAACTTCTTGAAAGTTAGATCTTTGTTCTATCCACTGTTGTTCGTATTGCAATAAAAATTATTATAATTACTAGGTGATTGTTTTCTTCCTTTATTTGGATCCTTTTGTTTACTGATATATCATGGTAATTAATGAAAAACAGATGTATTTTACTTTTATTGAANCGATGGTGCACCAACACATTCCAGCATATTGGTTCTAGAGTTGTCAACAGTAGATGGGGATCGCTGGATTGAAGTATCATAATTTGGAATACGGAACAATTTCTTTCCGCAAGAGGGCGCCAAAATAGAAAGTCCGACAGCGAAAATTGACAAAGCCGAATTCCTCATGAATTCACCTTTTTAATGATTTATCACTTTTCCAATTCAAATTTTTTGGGAGATAGTGACCGAGGGGTGGGGGACAGTTTAGGTTATGATAGGAAGATGTCCCCCTCCGATTACGAATCGACGTGTTTTTGCATTTTTTTCAGAAAATATGTGTTTTGAAGATATTTGATTTGTTTCGTTTTCGCTCTCCCACCCTGTATAAAGTTCTCATTAGATACCATTTCAATTGATATGTCAACGCCTGAGGAAGCTATCGTGTTGTGAAATAGGTATTGCAGTTTTGTAAAGCGGTCAGTGAAAATCTCACAGGAAAATGTTACTTGAACTCATTATGAATTTTCATCAATTATCCGCCAATTACATCATACACAAAATATATGACTCCCAGTATTTCATTATTTTCTCAACCTGGCCCAGCCATAAATTGAAGTAAATCTAAAAAAATGAACTTCAAATGTTCAAGCCAGTCTCGGATATACCTACAAAGTAGGCTGAATGGAGTGACGCCTATCAGAAAACAACTACTCCATTGGCTTATGCCACGAACGGCATTGGATTATATCTGACAGGCGTCAGTGCAGGAATCTTCACAGAAAATTTCCTGCATATGCAATTGGCAATACAACTGAAATAGTCGACTTTCAATTTTGTAACAAGCACACTTGCAGACCGGTTTCGGGCTCCTTAGCCATCATTTTGCCTTTTGTTTCTAACTTATTCATATTTTTATCCATACTGATCATTAACTGTTGAACCTTATTAGTTGTAAACAATAGAAACATTTATTATTATATGCAAGAAATTTTCAGTGAAGATTTCTGCACTGACGCCTGTCGGATATAATCCGATGCCGTTGGTGGTATTAGCCAGTGGAGTTGTTTTCTGATAGGCGTCAGTCCATTCAACCTGAAGTGTAGGTATATCTGAGACTGGCTTAAATATTTGAAGTTTATTTCTTTACATTTGTTAACTGCCTGTCTTAAAGCATAGCCCACTGACTAATAAAAAAAAATAAATTGAAGTATTGTAAAATTTTCTTTCACAAACCCATTATACTCACCAATTCTCAATTTGCATTGTTGCTGCTGATTTCTGTTGACCTGCTGGACTTTCCTGAACATTTCTGTTGCGAAACCAAGTAATGTTTCCAAGCTTGAACTAGTGTGATGTCGTTCTAATTCATGACGTTTTCCTCCGGGAAACAAACCGCAGGCAACCATATATGTCCACTTCGCAATTTTTATTTTCTCAATTGCTAGGAATTCACGTCTATTGGAAATCTGTCAATGAATTATTCAGATCATAATGTAGCATAAAATACGATATATACTATATTTTATCAAACCGTGATTGAAGACTGTATCGCGAAGAGATACGTAGGTATTAGAACATAAATGTTTCAAAATGAAATCTTGAAATATTGAGTCGGATCTTTCCTGCACTGATGAGACGTAATACCTCGAAACCGGTCTGTAGATGACCCACTCGAATAATTTCTGCATGGTTCTGCTGTTGGATGAACGGGAAAAAACTGCAAGACTAACCTCTGTGAGGTATCTTGCATAAATATCCATCGGATATAATTCAATATCCAGTGTGGTATTAGCCTGGAAGGTAGGCAGGCATTTCAAAGAATCTAGCGTGTACGTAGTTGAGAGAGATGAATTTCTCGAGATTTTATTAAGAAATATTCATTTTCAAGTACTTTCGCTTCCTTGCTGCAAAAGTGACATCACTCAAAAATGGCGATTTTTTAGTTTGCATGTGAAAAAAGTTCGTTTTTGAAAGCTCCCTCAACTGGTATATCGACATTTCTTCACTACAATTACAGTCCGGAAGAGAGCTTTCTATGACGAGAAGAAAATTTCTTTCACTCCCCACTCTTCCAATTTGTTTGTTATCAAGACGGTGTAATCTCAGTTGTGTTCTAGTCCAGTTGAGGAAAGGTAACATGCGTTTCGGCAAGAGTGACATAATGTGTTTTTGTAACGCTTATCAAGAAAAGGCGAATCATAATATGGCATACCTACTTTTTTCTTCAACAAAGTCATATTTTGGAATGTAGCTTCACTGTAGATTCTGAGAACCAGCCGTGTTATTCTTGAGCATGACATTCTTGCAGCCTACAATCCAGTATTTTCCAGTTTCAATTTGTCTATTTTACAGATAAACCAATCTAAGTTGGCCTTGACGTAAAACAAAACATAACGTCCTTGAAGAAAACAGTACTTGAACTTAAATTCGAATCATTGATGTTTGAGACGTTCTAGTCGATAATTATGAAGCCAGATATAATTTTGTTATTTGATATTATCATTGAATTATGAAACAGTTGTTTATTTTCTGCAGTAATGACCAACCCACCAGTCGAGGGAGGTCATTGGTGTATTTAGTTGAGAAGGAAAAAGGAGTTTTTCTCCTTTAACCTCGTACATATTCGAGTTTTATTCGTTTTTTTTGTGTGTGTGGTTCATTAGTCATTTTATTTCTTCAATCAGAGATGGAAATCCGAAACAAGTTCCTAGTCAGATTCTGCCAGATCTCACGCCAACCGCTGAAATTTCTACTCCTGATGATGTACAAATATGACGTGTGTACTTTTGTGATTTCATTTATTCAGATTCATTTAAAATTCAAACTTTTATGTTGGGAGACGCAGAAAAATGAAAGCATATCGGCCCTTAGAGTTTACCACAAGATTTTCCATCCGTCGAAAAATTTTCTACACCTGTAGAAGTTTAACGTAAGTACTGTGACGATGAAATAAACGACAGACTCTATCATCCAGAAAAAAGCGAAGAAAATAATGATAGCAGCTCAGACGAAATTGGAAGTGATGATTTCACTCATAGTACCATCAATTTATTAGCTAAGATTGCTGGTTCCTTCAATTTATCATCTTATCATTTCTCTTCTTTGCTCATAAATACATTCCACAAGTGACATAACTATTTTGACAAGTCCCGAATGTAAGAGGATAAAAAGAATACTCATCGTTGGAAAATGGGAAAAAAAACTTGGAAAAAGACAGGAATAGTGGAAAATAAAAAAAAAAACTTTAAAGTATCGAGAGGAAAGAAATATAAAGCCATGTTATGGGGAGAACGAGAAGCTAGAATGTTCGTCCAAATTTTTCAAATTCAGAATTTTGGGATTAAGACGACGTAGGAAAGTCAAGGCAGTACTTAGCCGATTCTATGAAGACAGTTCAACCTCAATATAGGTACATCCGTGTTGAAGCCAAAAGAAACCCATTTCATTCTCACCAAGGTGACCAACGAATTCGTGTTTGTGTTTTTTAAAAATATCTTAGGAATTACTGAAATCAAGAAAGAAATCAATCGGCCATTGTTCTTCTACAATAAGATTCAAGAAGAAAAACATGGTAATCAAAAGAAACTGGATCCGATCCATGAAGATGGAATTCCCAAGACAGAAAGCCATTACACACGGGCTAATTCTTCAAGGCTATACATTGACGGACGTGAGACAATAGCAGAACTCCACAAAGACTACGAGACACATTGTTAGGAGAACCAAGTTCCATTTGACAATTATGTTAACACATCAATGCCTAACACATTATTCTTTAAACATTCGTACAAGTTGTGAACTTTTTATATAGGACAACCATAAGACTGTTTTTTCAGTTTCTACTTGAAACTAACTTTGACTGGTATTGTAGCAGTAGGTTTTGTATCGCGAATAAAAAATTATAGAATTATTTCGGAAAAAACGTTAACATTCAAATAGGGGAAAAGCTGATTTAGTGGAAAATGGCTTTTTCAGTTATTCAGACAGGGAAATCGTGCTTTCCTTTAAGAAGCATCGATAGGTCTTTTAATTAGCTTTTGTTTGACATCTTGATCACGTCTCTAACGTGAAAGGGTGAGATTTTTTTTAGATTTGTGTTCAAAAAACATTGAATTTTTCAAACGTATTTCACAGCCAGAATTAATGAGGATATCAAAAATGTTGTTTAACTTTTCGATTCAGATCGTTGAATGCTACCCAAAAAAGGAATCAAAATTTTTGGCAAAAATTTTTGCAAATTCCGAACATTGCCATTGAACATGACATGTCATCAAATAAGTGAATGAATGTCATTACGATGTCATCAATGACATAAGCAGATCAAGCTTATTCCGTGACGTTAAAAATCGTAATTCATGATGTGTATTTTCTATTATGTTATCCAATTTGGTACTGAAGAGCCTTAGGACAAGTGTCTTAAGGTGAAACATCGATGTATACCAGTGAGGATGATAGTGTTCCATGCAAGTGCAATTTGTTACCATTCATTTAAAGTAGAATTCATGTGAATGATATCTGATTTTTATTCCACATCGGACGTTTGAAATACAAACTGAGTAGAGAAAAGTAACTTCTGTATAATTCAGTTTTCATATAGAAGTATTTGTTTCGAAAGATTTTTTTTTGTTTCGTGTAATTCAATGTTTATATGAAAGTAGCTGTTTCAGAAGGACTTTTTTTCAGTTTGTGCCTGAAAGTTACTTCTTTGCATGATCTACACATCCATGTACAGAGTTACTTATTTTCAAATTGATTACTTCCTTCTTTTTTTGGAAGATCCCCTCATCCTTTTTTTGTATCAAGATGGAGTGGTAGAAAGCCAAAAACTTTCTTTCCCAAAATTTATCACTCCTAATAATATAACCCCTTCATTTCAAGTTACATGATTGTTATTTGAAAAGCATTCTACAGGCGATTATTGCGATTCCTGGCTGAATATTGAGATTTGTTGACTGTTATTCACGATTATTTGAAGGAGATGTCTACAGGAGTTTATTTGGAGAGCTTTTACTGGAGTTATTTGAAAGAATTCCGTTTTTGGAGTTATCGAGAATTTTCTATTGGATTCATTGCGGATTTTACGAGGAATTTCTTGGATTGAAAATCTCTGGTTCTTTTTAGGATTCACTAGAAATTTATAGGAGCATCGTGAGGAGTTGATTTATTTTGGATTGTTTAACCATTCTTTCGTTTGTTCAGGTTTTTGTTTGGCACCAAAATCCTACGCAGGAAGAGTAGGTCTCTACTGAAGTTGCCCAGACTTACGCACCAGGCTAACCTTGCGGTGTTAACTGGCTTAGGTGTATTGAGATTAAACTTGGGGGGGTCAAGCCATCATTAGATCAGTCCTTCGGGCTATCGACTCAATGTAACCGTTTGGAATTTTCCAGGATATCGAAACCTTTTATCCATATCCTGCGAACGGCCCTCATCCTAGTGCAGTTCACTAGTAAGGCTCCGTGTTCCTTAATATCATAGATCAGTTCACCCTGTAGGTCTTGGTTAGGAAATTGATTTCGCGATCTAAGGGTGACCTTAAAGTCGTAGCTTTCCGTGAATTCTCCCCTCTGCCCATCTTCAAATCAGAGTCAATGTTATCGAATTTTTAAGGAAACCGAAAATGCATATTGAGGAAAGACAAGCGCGAGCGCAATTTGCAATAGATACAACAGTGCCAAATCACGAGGTCAACCCTTTCGACCAACAATTCCTAAATTCAGACAAGTTCAGTCGCCTTAGTACGACTTCTATAGAACGACGCAAAACGGAATGTGGACAGGCTCTTGGAACCATGGAATTAGACGCAGTGAAGGACGTCCGGTACCCGGCATCGAGCTGCCCCAAGCAGTTTTTGGGAAGAGAGGGATGTGTTGCGCACAGGAGCGACTCGCATCTTGAACGAGTCCGGAACTGGCGCCCTAGCGGAAGTTCTAGGGAGTGGTGGTAGGCCAGGTGGCTTCCCTGAAGACGGTGGAGTCTTGGGGGTGCCCTCATGGTGGGACCAGTTGCCAAACCAAATCCAAACCTACAACGAGCTAGTACGAGCCACTAGAAAACCTGGCGTCATACTTCGACTGGGAATGGACGTCGAAATCCCTAAGGTTCAGGTCGGGGAGGCCAGGAGGCCGCTACGACGAGAAGGGTTTGGAACGGCAGGTGCGATGTGCCGAGACACGCCCCCACCAACCCAAACGTTTGTTCAGGACAGGGTAATGCTTTAAGTATTCACCTATCGCTACATCTTCTTTGTTCTGACGTGTAAATCGAGCTTTGTGTGTTTCCGTGTTTGTTGATAGTGTTATATGAAACATAGGTACATTTTATATTCCATTGAATGAATGAATTATTCCACATTTATATTAATATGAAATAACTGATTCCGTTTTTTTGTAGTGTGAATAGACCAATCACTGAAGCTGAAATCTTACACATTGTTGAAGATGAACAGTTTTGTGAGGATTGTTATTCCACAAATAATCCAGATGAAGAAGTAAATATTTTTGAAATGTAAGACAGAGTAGCTGCTACTGAAGCTATTCTGAAACATCGGATATCCTCTAGTGAGGATGACAGTGTTCCTTGTTAGCGGAATTTTTCATCTTTCATTTACTATATTGTGTAACAATCCTGTGAATAGTATCGGATTCGAATCCATAACGAATGTCTGGTACAATGTATAATTCAGTATTCATATAAAAGTATTGGTTTCAAAAGTATTTTTATTTCGTGTAACTCAATGTTTATATGAAAGACTCTAGTGAGGATGACATTGTTCCTTGTTAGTGGAATTTTTCCTCTTTCATTTACTATATTGTGTAACAATCCTGTGAATAGTATCTGATTCGATTCCATAACGAATGTCTGGTACAATGTATAATTCAGTATTCATATAAAAGTATTAGTTTCAAAAGTATTTTTCTTTCGTGTAACTCAATGTTTATATGAAAGAAGAGGGCTTTTTGTTTCAAGTTTGTGTCTGAAAGTTACTTTTTTGTGTGATCTACAGATCTTTGAAGGTAAATTTTCATATGAAGAGGGAGAAGTAGAAAGCCAAAACTTTTCTTTCCTTATGAAAATATGTTGTGTGAATGTTCACTCCATGTGGTCTCCAGTACGATTTTGTATAAAGCTTAACATTACGAATGGCCAGATATCTGAATCTTTCAAAGAAAAATCAATTGTAGCATTCAATCCATTTGAAAAATTTCATTTTGGTGATCAGTTGACAGACACTTTTAATCATCAAGAACGCAATACAGAAGATGAAGAAATGATTTCTTCACCTCCTAATTTGGATTTATTCTACGCCAGACGTTTATTGAGAGATAGGAACAGTTTCTGCGATCTTATGTACTCTCTTATGAATAATACAACAGAAGCACAGAAGGACACAATATATGATTCATTAATTGCATTTGTGAATACTCACTGTATCAAAAGAAGTTATATATTTATTCATCAAGAGAATGAATTCTCGATCATCTAGATAGTCTTGAAGATCATCATCGGTAATGAGCGAAGCAAACATGACTGCAACATTATCGTGTTTCTCGAAATACAGGTCCTGCATTTCCCGGTTCACATCCAAATAAACTTTTGCTGGAATGAGAAAATTGAAAATAATTTAATGGACTTTTATAAAGTGATACATTTTTTGGCATGTATGAATTCGTAGAAGAAAACTCAAAAAACTTCTGAACTGAAAGGAAAACGTTTCGAATTGTAAAAGTACAAATCACTTCAACTGATTATTGTTCGATCCAGGTGTTTTTATCGTGATATATTACGGCGGATATGCCACGGATGAGAAGTTTTACAAGTAATATAGCGTAGAGATGAAAAACAGGTCAAGTTGATAATACGCCCTTTTGTCATGAAGTTTTCCTCAATTTTTGTAAATACAAGTAGGATATTCTGTATATTTTGTGACGAATGATGTTATTTTTAGGAGTGTCGTTTGCATCGACTACATTAGTCATTAGCCTCGTATCCTGAATAGGCAATGTTAATAACTTTCCGAGCCACCTAGGGAGCAGCATAACTATTCGCAGTCCGTCAGCTATGTAACTTTGCAGAATCATTCCAGTTAGTAGATGAACAACACCGATTCTGGCCCAAAATCCCATGTATTTTCTTATGGAGCTAAACTTTTTGCAATTTTTGGTTCAAACAGGAGTGGGGGAAACGTGTGACGTCATCGACGCAGGATGGAACGAGTATCGTAGCGATTCAAGCATGGAACTCGACCCCCTTGCCCTCGCCCCCCTTAGTACTCCACATCACCGCTCAGGCCCTCTTGAGACTCCGCATCAGCGCTCAGACCTCCTTGTCACGTGATTTTAATTAAAAAAAGTTTATAGTTATGAGATTCGAACCTGGATCGTCCGCGCCGTAGACATTGTCCTTAGCCTCTACACCATCGTAAGATAT